TAAATAACAAAAAGTTAAATTAAAAAAAAATTAGCATATATATTTAAAATGAATAATTTATTTAGAAATAAATATTAAGATTAAATTTTCATATAAACATATAAAATTGTTATTTAAAATTATCAATACTACCAAAAAAATATTCATCTTAAATTATCAAAAAAGAAAGTCATCTAAAACTTATAATTTTTAGAGAAATATTTAAAAAATTAACACAAAAATCTTAACAACCAAAAATGATACTTTATGCTAATTACTGAAAAAAGCAATATAAAAAAATGTTTAACTAACAAAAACCAAAACATAAATTATTTCTTACAACATGTCAATACAATTAAAATGAAAGTCCATATCGAGAAAGTTAAATTAACAACAAAAGAGGATATTAACTTAATATCTATGTTATTTCAATATAAACAGAATAAGTAAGAGAATAAAAATACTTAAATAATAATAAAAAACTCAACTAACAAAAATAATATAAATATTTAAGCTAATTATTTAAGAAATCAATATTAAGTAATTAATTAACGAAAAACTAAAACGAAAATTAGAAAGTTTTTTTTTTAAAACACTTAAAAATATATTGACTTGATATCTGACTAACTACTTAAAAAATACATATAAAAATATTTAACTAACAAACAATTTATGTCTTCAAAATATCAATATTTTAAAAACAATGGTGTGTTAAAATAAAATAAAAATCAATATCAAGAGAGGTAAATTATTAAATGAAAAAGTCGTATAAAGTAAAATTAGCTTGATATTAAGGCTAACTACCAAACAAATATTAACTTAAAAAAGGAAATGATGGTATAAACTTTCGAGAGAAGTTCACTTAAAATTTAGAATAACTAGTTATAGCATGTCAAAATAGCATTTTAATTAATTTAAAAAGTTAAATATAACAAAAAAGCATTTATCTAAAATATATTAGATTAATATATATGCTACCTATTTGAAAAATCAATAACAAAAGAAATTAATTAAAAAAATATATATGTTTTAAGTATCTCAAACCTGCAGACAATTAGATAATTAAAATAAAATATAAAATTACCATCGAAGATATTTAAAATAACAAAAAACAAGATCTAAGAAGAAAATTAGTTTGAAATATAGTTCCAAAAATATTCACGATTTCTAAAATATTGGTGTTGACTATGAATAACCATATAAAGTTTTAATAGGTTAAACAAGTTTCTAAATCAAACATATTATTTATATTTACAAATATTAATACCTTGGTTGCGTCTGGTTTTAAAATTAACAAAATAATACACAAGTAACTTTACATTCAAAATATAATAAGTAATAAAGTCTGATTTGTATACATATTTACTACTTATAACTTAGTCAACATGAACAACACATGAGCAACATTCTCTAAAATTTTATTTAAATAATATAATATGACAAAGTTATGAATCAAATTTAAATGGGAATATATGAAGATAACATATGCAAATCAAAACATGAATAAACACACAAAAGATTAAAAAAAACAGTGATAATGTGAAGTCTCAACATCATCTTACATGTTTAAAAACAAATATTAGCAAATAGTTAACTGCAAATAAAAACAGATCTTATAAACTGAATAGAGATATAACATAAAATTCATAGAAGATCTGGTGGAGAAGCAAAAAGTAGTTTTACACGATTAGTGTAGCTTACTAACAAAAGTAAATCTGAATCAACATATATCATATATTATATATGTATATGTACACAATATTAGTGAGACATTTAGTAAAGAAACTAAATATTTAAACATATAAATCTTTTAAAAAAAACCATAGAAATCCTAAGGATACAAAAAAAAACACTAAAAATTTAGTAAGGAAATCATTTTCTAAATCAAACATATGCACATCGAAGTTGGATAATTCGTTAGGTGTCATTACTATGATTTTACTTAATAAGATTTATAATTTTATAAACTAAAATTATCAATAAAGAAAGTCATCTAAAACTTATAATTTTTGGGAAAATATTTAAAAAATTAACACAAAATCTTAACAAACCAAAAATGATACTTTATGCTAATTACTGAAAAAATCAATATAAAAAATGTTTAACAAACAAAAACCAAAACATAAATTATTTCTTACAACATATCAATACAATTAAAATGAAAGTCCATATCGAGAAAGTTAAATTAACAAAAAAAAACGATATTAACTTAATATTTATGTTATTTATTTAACAAAATCAATATAAACAGAATAAGTAAGGGAATAAAAAAATTTAAATAATACTAAAACTTAACTAACAAAAATAATATAAATATTTAAGCTAATTATTTAAAAAATCAATATTAAGAAATTAATTAACTAAAAACTAAAACGAAAATTAAGTTTTACAAAATATTATTTTTTAAAAAAACACTTCAAAATATATTGACTTGATATCTGACTAACTACTTAAAAAATTCATATAAAAATATTTAACTAACAAAAAAATTATTTCTTTAAAAAATCAATATTTTAAAAACTATGATGTGTTAAAATAAAATAAAAATCAATATCAAGAGAGATAAATTATCAAAGGAAAAAGTCGTATAATGTAAAATTAGCTTAAAATTTATGCTAATTACCATACAAATATTAACTAATAAAAGCAAATGATGGTATAAGCTTTTGAGAGAAGTTCACTTAAAATTTAGAATAATCAGTTATAGCATGTCAAACTAGCATTTCAATTAATTTAAAAAGTAAAATTAACAAATAAAAAGAATTTATTTAAAAGATATTAGATTAATATATATGCTACCTATTTGAAAAATCAATAACAAAAGAGATTAATTAAAAATATATATGTCTTAAGTATATCAAACCTGCAGAAAATTAGATAATTAAAAAAATATAAAATTACCATTGAAGATATCTAAAAGAACAAAAAAACAAGATCTAAGAAGAAAATTAGTTTGAAATATAGTTCCAAAAACATTAACGATTTCTAAAATATTGGTGTTGACTATGAATAACCATATAAAGTTTTAATAGGTTATACAAGTTTCTAAATCAAACATATTATTTAAATTTACAATGATTAATACTTTGGTTGCGTCTTGTTGAAAAATTAACAAAGTAAAATACTACACAAGTAACTTTACATTAAAAATATAATAAGTAATAAAGTCTGATTTGTATACATATTTACTACTTATAACTTAGTCAACATGAACAACAGATGAGCAACATCCCCTAAAATTTTATTTAAATAATATAATATGACAAAGTTAGGAATTAAATTCAAATGGGAATATATGAAGATAAAATATTCAAATCAAAACATGAATAAACACACAAAAGATAAAAAAAACAATGATAATGTGAAGTCTCAACATCATCTTACATGTTTAAAAACAAATATTAGCAAATAGTTGACTGCAAATAAAACATATCTCATAAACTGAATAGAGATATAACCTAAAATTCGTAGAAGATCTGGTGGAGAAGCAAAAAGCAGCTTTACACGATTAGTGTAGCTTACTAACAAAAGTAAATCTGAATCAACATATATCATATATTATATATGTATGTGTACCAACATTAGTGAGGTATTTAGTAAAGAAATTAAATATTTAAACATATAAACTTTTTTTTAAAAAAAAAGAACCATAGAAATCCTAAAGATACAAAACAAAACACCAAAAATTTAGTAAGGAAATCATTTTCTAAAGCAAACATATGCACATCGAAGTTAATAATTCGTTAGGTGTCATTACTATGATTTTACTTGATAAGATTTATAATTTTATAAACAAAAATAGGAAATACTACATATTATGTTTTAATTTTTTATATAAAAGAAATTTTCTATAAATATATTATAGTTTTGATAATTTAAAAGATATTAGATAAAAAAATTAAACCAAATTATTAATACAGACTCGCGCGTAGCGCGAGTGAAAAGCCTAGTAATATATAAAAGTTGATGACATAGTGCATTGAATGCGTCCACATGGGATTAAAAACTCGATCTGATTGGTCCACATCAGCATATTCATTAATAAAAAAATGTTAAGTATGATTAGGACGGAAAACTTGATTTAATTGGTCCACATTACCTTTTTAATCAAACTAAAATTTATTAAGTATAATTAAAACATTAAAAGTTAATTTAACAAATTATGTCCAACAAAAAAATTAAATTCAATCTGATTGATCCAAATCAACATATTTATTAAATCAGAAAATGTTAATATGGTTTAAAATTTTTAAAAGTTAAATAAAAAAAATTAACAACTAACAATACATGTATAAAAAAAAAGTAACCATTATCAATTATCAATTTAAAATTTTTTTACAACAACTCGATTTAACAATTAAAATAATCAAAACTAAATATAAATATAACATAAAACTTTGGAAGACATGATGGAGAAAAAAAAATAGTTTTGCATGATCATTACAGCTTCATAACAAAATTAAATGCGAATCAACATGAATCATGGATTATATATGCAGTGGTACACAACATCAATAAGACTTTCAATAAAAAAACTAAAAATTTGAACACATAAGCCTTCAAGAAAAAAAAAACTATAGAAATTTTATGGAAAATAGAAAATAATACCAAAATCTTACCAAGATTATATTTATCTAAATCAAATATATATGTACGTCAAAGTTAGATAATTCAATAGGTGTCATTGTTATTATTTTACTTAATAGTTTTTAAAATTTATAAATAAAAATAGAATAAATTACACATTATATATTAAATTCTCTTATATAAATTATTTTTTTTATAAATATATTATCTTTTTAATAATTTTAAAAATAATAGTTAAGAAAATTAAACCAAAACATTAATACAGACTTGCGCATAACACGAGTTATATACCTAGTATGTGTAAAACGTAACCACTTACCAATTAAGTGTGTCTACATGTAAACGTCTCATTATCTTTGGTAGGGTAGCAAAATTTCCCAAAAAGAAAAAGATATATAGTAAGTAAAATCAAAAACAGGTAAAAAGTAAAAACCCTTTGAGAAGAACAAGCAGCGCATAAACCCCTTCTAAGTTCTAATTTTCTTCCTCAACCCAAACAATTTCTTTTTTTTTTTTCCGCCTGCGGCAGGATTTTCCCGAGAAAATGAGGAATTTGGGATCTCGAGCTTCTGCTGAAGAGCGTCGCAGTCTCTCAAGGTACATATCAATTTGAGCTACAAATCTTCGAATTGGCAGTGGCAGTCGATTGTAAACTCAATTCCTCTTCTCTCTCTTGATTCTGAAAAGTTCAATCCCACAAAATTTTTCCTGTTGCTGTATGGATGAGATAGCTTCAAGCAAAGTTTATTTTGTTCAAATTCTGCAGCTTTTGATTCCGTTGTTTGCTCAAGAATTGTTTTTTCTTTTTTAATTTCCTTCACATTGGAACAGATCCTTGTCGCAGCTAAGGCATCGGATTACTGGGTTTTCTTCCAAATGTAGGTATAATTGAATTGTTTTACATTTGCTTACTGTGTTCTGATGTGATGAGCAATTTTTGAAGGTTTTGATTGATTCTACAGACTTGTGAGATTAAGCAAATGGCTTCCGCGAAAGGCCCTGTTAAAAAGGGTCAGCCTTCGATTAAGCATAGTTGCAACTTCGCTGAGGCTACTAAGAGGAAGCTGTCAAAGGTCAGTGATCGTGAACATGTCGAGTATGCGTATGCTTGGCAGAGGCACAACAGGAGACGAGGAGAGACCAAGTTGAGTCAAATCTTGAGCAGAGATGCGCTTATTTCAGTAGTTGACTTGATGTGGGATCGCTCGGATTTAGTTTCTGGTAATTTGATCAGCTCACTAAACGAAGCAAATCTAGATGATTTGAAGAGAGACGAAGTCTGTAAGATCAATGTCTCAGTGGATAGCACACAGTTGCCTGCTGATCATAAGGGTAAGTCTCAGTTGCTATCAACTCCACAGTCTAGTGTTCAGTTAGTGAGAGTGGCCGAGAAGATGTGTACTTTCAAATCTATCGTTGGTTCTTGCAAAGAGAATGCTTTTCCTCTTGAGGCTAGGTGGGAGACAGAACAGCTGTATAGCTGGATGAAAGAAGTAGTTCCCACTGTTAGTAGATATCATAAAGGGGCTGAGATTGAGAAGAGAGAAAGTTTTGAAGTATCTGCTTCAGGAAATGCTAATAGAAGTGGTAGGATCTTTGTCACAACTGGTTCAGAGAGCATTACAGATACATCGGGAGGCACCAGTTTATCCAGATCTACGGATGTGAACTATCTCTTTTTGCTTTACAGAGATAGGTGTGCCAATAATAAAGGAGTGAAGGTAATAAGCACGGACTGCGATACTGAGATGTCTTCTTCTTCTTCAGGGGATGACTTAGGCGAAGACAGCTTATCTATGGTTGAAAATAAACAGTTGTGTGAAAGAGATAAGAAAGACCAAGAGAGTGAAGTTTGTTCTTCCTCTAAAGAAACGCCTTCTTACGCATTTGCTAAACAGCGGCATGCTTTTGCTGGTGCATTGGCTGGCATAAGCGTCAGTCTTTGTCTTCATCCGCTAGATACAGTCAAGACGATGATTCAGTCATGTCGCTTGGAGGAGAAGTCTCTATGCTATACTGGAAGATCAATAATATCTGAAAGAGGTAGAGCCGTTTACTTGAGATGATCACAAAAGGGGACTTTCTGTATTGCTTTGTCACTGCGCCCTTGTTGGTTAACTCAATTATATCTCAATATGTGATCAGGTTTTTCTGGACTTTATCGGGGGATCGCTAGCAACATTGCCTCATCAGCTCCCATCTCTGCCCTTTATACGTTCACTTATGAATCAGTTAAAGGAGCTTTGCTTCCTCTTTTCCCTAAGGTCTTATTCTTATTTCTTCTGGTAGCTTGGTGAGTAGAATGTGCACGTTCATATTACTAAATCCTTAAAAAATTCAGGAATATTGCTCCCTTACTCACTGCTTAGCTGGGGGCTCTGCAAGCGTTGCAACTTCTTTTATTTTCACGCCAAGTGAGCGTATAAAACAGCAGATGCAAGTCAGTTCACATTATCGCAATTGCTGGTAAACATTTGCAAGCTTTAGTCTAACTTTTTCTGACTGCATTATGTACTTCCTTGTTCACTTAGCTCTAGCTTAAGGATACCTTAACGAACTTGATTCATGTTTTAAATGTCTTTTCGTTTCTCTTTTCTTTAATTTTCTTCTGTTCTAAAACATGGTTTCTTGATATGTTCATCACATGTTAATATAGGACTGCATTAGTCGGAATCATCCAGAAAGGTGGTCTACTTTCTTTATATGCTGGTTGGAGTGCGGTGCTATGTAGAAACATACCACATTCAATCATTAAGGTTATCTCTTTGCGCATACTATATTGTGTATTGTGTTCCTATGCTCTAACTACGTAGTAGCAGCCTTTGAACTTTAATTCCACACTCTTTAGCTACTCTTCCTCTCTGCTTGAATACGGTTCTGATGCCAAAATTTATTGGAAAATACAGTTCTATGTTTATGAAAACATGAAGCAAATGGTATTACCATCCCTCGGTCCTGGTCAAACGGCTCAACCCACCACATTACAAACGGTTTGTATCTTCTCCGCTTCATTCCATAATCCTGCACTTTAACATGACTTGGATGATTTTGTTTGAATCTGGAGACCTGAGATGACTCGGATTGTTTTCTCCAAACAGCTCGTCTGTGGAGGACTAGCGGGATCTTCTGCTGCTTTCTTCACAACCCCATTTGATGTAGTCAAAACAAGATTACAAACTCAGGTTCGTGTCTCTCTCCAACTATTGATTTGTTAGGAACTGTATCGTCAAACATCTAAAACTTATCCAATGGCGTGCAGATTCCTGGATCCAGGAACCAACATCCTAATGTGTATCAAGCTCTTCAATCAATAGGCAAACAAGAAGGTCTAAGAGGGCTATACAGGTCTGCTCGCTTTTCACAAACCCTCTCTCTTATGTGCTTGTACCATCCATGGTTCATCAATTCACCATCATAGTCTTGTTTCATTGTATGTTGCAGAGGTTTGATCCCAAGACTGGTGATGTACATGTCCCAAGGAGCTATATTCTTTGCTTCATATGAGTTTTACAAGAGTGTACTCTCTCTAGAAGCCACACAACCCGATCTATCAGCTCTATGGCACAAAACAAAAGATGGAGATAACCCTAACTCATTAATAGGACGATGATAGTTAAGCCACCCACACAAAGACAGTAACATAACATATGTAATACATACAATTTTCCGGCTGTGTAACTATTGGTTTTGATAAAATTTATTTTGTGCTAAGTCTTTTTTTTTACTGGAGAGAAAGAGGAAGATCCATTATTCACTAAACAAGTTACAAAACTTTTTTTTTTTGAAGGATCTACCAAACTCTACGCTTATAAGATCTCTAAACCAAATTGGGCACCTCCCATTTTGCTACCTTACAATATGAACAGTGTGGCTTTTTCTTTTGCCTAGATCCTACTCAGAAGAATGAATAAATGACACAACAAATCATGTGAAGCCTCTCTCAGTTTTGGGATATCAGAGACCATCCCATCTTTAAGCTCGAGAGATCAGAGACCATCCCATCTTCAAGCTCTAGCTTGTCCGGCGAATCTGCTGCTTTCATGGCTGCATTTTGTCTCTTCTTCTCGCCAAGAAAACAAATGTATCTGCAATAACGACAGCATCACAGACTCACACTCTGGAGATTGGCGAGAAAGGAGGGTTCGGCATGTAGGATTGAAGAGCAGTCGCAGCTTCTCTCACAGGCTTAAGGACTTTCTTTACTTCTTCCTCAGTTACTGCTTCAACTAAGAATTGAACATCATCATCAATCAGCATTTTCAACGAGCTGCAATGCGATAACTGTTGTACATTCTCGCCGTTTCTGTAACTATCCGAGACTTCCGTGTTATGTAATATCGCAACACAGATTGAGAATGCTTGCAAAGTAGATAACTGCGCGTGGAAATGAACATCGTATTGCCCTTCCTCAACAAACGACATGTACAATGCTGGTATATGCTCTTTAGCACCCTATATAATATGAAGAAGATATGATATTGAGTCTTCAATAGTTATTCACACAAGTCCAAAGAAGCAGTTCCAAGAAAGCAGAACATGTGTTTGAATGAGGAAAGAACAAGCTTTTACCTGGACAAACAGTTGCAGTGGATGCTGATTGTCTACAAGAGGCTGATCATGAGAACATGAGATACAAGGATTTCCAAGAACCATAAGTGGACAAGCCATGTCCCAACCACCACAGTCACAACCACCTCCTGACCTCCATCTCTCAATCAGAGGCGAAGGACCGGTGTTTTCGGTAGTCGGTAGACCGTGGTTCCCCCTCGGGATCACAACCTTCAGCTTCTCTGAGCTTCTGCTGCCAAGAAACTCCTTCTTCTCCTCCTCTATTGGAGAAAGACCAAGAAGATTCGTTTTCTCCATCAGCCTCTTGTCACCTCTTCTGTATTTCAAGCTTTCTCTCTTCTCAATCGTGTCTTGGATGATTACAGCAGCGATCTCAAGGTCAGGATGCAAATCTGACGCTGACCACGGGGTTTTTCCGTTTGAAGCCTCGAGATCATAGCTTTGAGATGTACGTTTAGGCTGAGATCTCTGCTTCACTGTATCAGAAACATCTCCAGACATTGTGCTGTTTCTTGAATCTGAGTCTGGTTTAGCAAGACTCTTGGAGACATTAGTAACCGTATCAAGTGGTAGTGATTGATCTTCTTTAGTGGAGACACTCCTTCTTGCTTGTGCAATATCATACAGAACAAACTCATTCACCATCAAAGTCTCTGGATTTTGTCCCTTTACTCTTACCTCTGTGCACATATTACACGAAACTTGCATCTGAGCAACAAGCAAAGAGTCTTTGTTAACATCATTCGAGCCTCTCACACTAGCACTGCTCCTCTTCCTGCTTCCAACAGATGAAAACGTATATACCCAACCAGAACCATTATCAGATTTCCAAGTCTTTGCAGCGTAAACATCCTCAGGAGAATCTGACACAAACTGAAAAACAGGCAGTCCATGTTTGCTTTCGACCTTGAGACGGCAATGTAGATGAACCGGAGAAGATTTCAGCACCAAAGTATAATCCTTACTGACAACTGGAGGAGGAGGAGGAAGAGGACAAAGATTTGATCTTTTATGAATGTTTGAGTAGTAATCACTCAACATAGATTTGCAACGCTCATTGTTCTTCTCAAGCTTTTCTGTACATTCAAATCCGAAATGATCACCTGATTCTCCTATAGTATACCCAAGAGGACTTCTCAGAGACTTTGACTTAACAAATGGATCAAACATTTTCCTAACTCTTGAGCTTTCCTTATTGCAACTCGTTACTGATGAAGAGACTGTAGTAACCTTTTCTACTTGCTTAAGCAATCTTGTTTTATTGTCATTACATTCTTTCGCTGAATCATCATCTGAATCCAACACCATAGCTCTATCTTTAATACCTGATTTCAAACAAATGTCAATGAAGTTACTAGAAGTGTTAGCTTCAACTGATGACTTCTGTCCATCTGAAAGCTTCTTGTCCGGTCTTTTCTCTGTACTTCCTTTTCTTGAAGAATCAACAACTCTAAAGGAGAAAGAAGCATCACTACTACGAGACAGCTCAAGCTTTGCTTTTGAATCTTTACGTTCTTTAAACAACTCGTTGGAGCTCTGATACACAGAACCTCTCCTCTGCTCCGACTTATCCGACATTGCAAGAGGCTTTGAAGGAAAATTCTTACAGGACGTGCTACGGTAACGCCTGAAGCTTATCTCGGTGAAGCCTTCTTTGACTCTCAAGATCTCATCTCTACGAGGCGGCTTGAGTCTTGTGCTCCTCTTTTCTGATTCAGTGAAAGGACGAGGAGCAGGAAGAACACTGTTGGGGCTTTGTTCCATATCAATTCCTTTACCAAATTCCATTTCCATTCCAGTCACCACATCAAAACATCTGAAAAAAACATTAGAGTTTAAGTAAAACGTATTAGTCCAACTAAATCAAGAATGTAATCAAGAAAACATTTAAAAGATGTCACATTTGTCTAACTCAATGCCCAAAAACTTCAGTACAAAACATGGATTAAGGAAGTTTAATGAGTGTCAGTAGAATCAAAATGTCAATAAGCTTTTCCAATTCAGAGCTCCTACTTAAATAACAGAACTCTAGCAAAAATTAGTAGTAATCTTGACATAGAACTGCAAATTAAGCTAAAAAAATACAAATTTTACATGCAAACTAGTGATCTTTGATTCGTACCCAATGTAGATCTCATATAGGTTGATAGAGGAATTAAGAACAGAAAACAAAATCCAACAAGCGAGCAGATTGAATTAACCAATTAAAAATCCAATTAGAGTGTCAAAATGAACCTAAAAATCAGAAAAATACCAAAACAGTGGTCAAAGAAGAACACTAAACAAAAGAATCAGATAGCTACAAAAGTAGCATCTAAGCAAAGAAGCAAATGAGTTAAATTATTTTATTTATTTTCACAGATAAATGAGATCTAAGGAGATAGAGACATGGAGAAAAACAAAGCATGCCTGAGTTAGAGTGAGACAGAGAGTGTCTTAATCTCGAAGATTTCTTCATAGTTTTACTTATCGAAATGGAGAAGAAGAAGAAGGAGAAATCACAAAACAGTGACGGTAACAGGATAAATCGATCATGTTCTTGTAATGTAAACAAAAAGATAGAAAAAAAGAAAAGCAATCAATTTGTTTTCTCCCTCAAGGCATCATTTTGTTTCTTTTTCCCTCTCTTCGTTACTGTTTTAGTGTGCAAAAATCTCTTTCACTCTCACACACTCTCTCTCTCTCTCTGTACTTTTGCTTTTAGCTTTTTTGTTGTCTGCTTCTTTTTCACTTCTACGATCAAACAAAGGTTTTTTCTCTTCAATGAAGTGTGACGTAAGACAATCTTGCCCCTTGTCAGAAACTGTCGCTAAAATTTATAAAAAGGGTAATTTCGTCATTTGCTATTAAAAATCGGTGAGAGATTAAGGAAATTCATTAAATTAAAATTTTGGATCGGTTCGTGAACCGAACGATAATAAAGTATCATTTACTTGTTTCTCGGGAAGTTCATGTGGGATTCCTCTCCCCAACTAAAATTTTTCGACTCTATGTGTCCCTCCACCTCAAAAATAAATATGTAATCAAATTTAATTATTTTGAAAGAAGGTTTATTAAATAATTTATTGGTAGTGTCAAGTGTGTGTACTTTAGATTTTAAATTTAGGGTTAGGGAAAGATTTAAAAATATTCTATTAGTAGCTCCTAACCATAATGGGCCGCATCGTAATTGGGAAGACCCACTTTTGACCAAACTTTCAACTTTAATACATTTTGGTCCAAATAGGTAGAGGACAAAAATTAATTTATTAGGATTTGGAATTAGAGACTCTCATAATATATAACCAGGTGAAGTTCACATTATTTAGGAGAAGAATTGTGGAAAGTTTTACTTCCATTATATGAATTGTGAAATCTAAGATTAATCGTAACAATATGCAAAAAAGTTAGGGTTTATTTTACATCTAAAAGTTTTAAAGGTTTATAATTGCCAATATAAAATGTTATAAAACTGGTGTTGTTACGATAAGTTACTGACTTACTGCTCGCTTAAACTCGTGGAATTTTGTATTCAGTCCAATAGCAACATCGCATAGAAAACATACTTGTACATTTTCTAATAAGCCCATTTAAATTGTATAGCTTTGGGCCTTTGGGCTTTTAGTGACGATCCAAACTTAATTAAACCAAGTATAGAAAAACTCTTAGCCCGAACCGGTTTATTTTTTTTGAATTGTCATCCTCGAGATACGCGACTACTCCGGCGACTACTCAAGATCGTATGATCTCAGTCCATCTCCGACGCCGATCGCTTTTAACATAAATTTCCCAAATCCGCACAAAACCTTCGGAAGCTCTCGTTTCATTTTCAGATTAGTACTTCTCCAACTCTTTAACTTTCTTTTCTTTGCTTAATTCAATATCACTCTGTTTTCATTTTGACCCTTGTGCGGATTCAATATCACTCTATCAGAATCTCCTTAGAACTGTCCGGATAGTGAAATTATGTTTGCTCATATATGAAATTGTCCATGGTTTTCCAAAAACTTCAAGCTTTTTAGCCAATATTTAAAGTTTGGATCTTGCAGAATTTCACTAAGTTCATGGTTTTCTATTAAGCTTTCTTTAGCATTGTGCCAAACCAATTCAAGAAACTATATAGTACTGAGGTTTTATCATTGCGATCATCTACTTTGATCAATCCCTCGTTGAAGGATGCTTCTTCAAGCCAGATAGTCACTTTAAAAGCTAACAATGGTCCTGGGAGAGTTGTATATGGCCTGAAGAAGTGACAAACGAGTAGACAAACTTCATTGACTGGTCCAGTTCTCATCTAGTCTTTCCATCAACTGGTTGGATAGCACTTTGAGTGGTCCAATTCTCAAAACTTGTTCTTCGTTTCTTTCTAACAACTTGCTATTGTTTATTTTTATATATTCTCCCTTCATACAATAGAAAAAATGTTTTGCCTTTAAGAGATTAAAGGCGCATATATGTAAGTTAGTCTATACTCAGCTTTTTGTTGTTCGGACACGAAATCAACTCTTCTATCTCATATTGGAAAATGGGTCTAAAGAATCTCTTCTCACTGATCTTCTGGCTTGTCCCGGTCAGCTTAACTGTTGTTGTTGTCTCTGCGCAAGCGAAATGCGGCGAGAATCTTGAACCTTTTAGACCAGGTAGTACTTTTGACACGAACCGTCGAATCTTCCTCTCATCTCTTGCATCTGAGGTCAAAGCTAAAGATGGTTTCTTCAACACTTCGATTGGTATATATCCTGACCAAGTCTATGCGATGGGGATGTGTATCCCAGGCGCTAAACAAACCGAACCTTTGTTCGGACTGTATCAAGGACGCGTCCGTCGAGTTAGTACAGGGTTGTCCCAACCAGACAGCAGTGTTTACTTGGTCAAATGATGGTGAAACTCTATGTATGGCACGCTACTCTTACTTGCCGTCTTTTAGACCGTTGGACTTGGACTCACCTGTCTATAGAGCCTACGGTTACGATCTCAGCAGAGATCTAACAGATTTTGATGGATTGTTGGAGCGATTGATTCGTATGGTGACCGAAGTTTCGTCATCACCAAGCAAGAATGTACAACTCTCTAACCGTAGATTCTATGCAGCTGATGTATGAGCATTGGCAAGCTCTAAAGTTGTATACGCCTTAATGCAATGCACGCCAGACATCTCTCCGTCCAACTGTAACACCTGTCTACGACAAAGCGTTGATCTCTTTGTTGATTGCTGTCGTGAGCAGAAAGGCGGCTATATGTATTTTCCTAATTGCATTTTCCGGTTGGATCAGAAACCTTACAGTGGCGCCTTTGATCATCCTAAGTTACCGCCTCACAGGACCAACAAAGGTAAAGTTATGTACTAAACATGACCATCTTGTTATTCAAACTCAAAGATTAGGTGATTTGGCTTTGCACAGATGGGAAAACGATTCGTAAAAGAGCTATCATAGGAGTTGTCGCTGCCACGGTTATAACCATAGCTCTGCTTGCTCTAGGGATTGCTGTTTGCAGGAGTAGAATGAATTACAAAGCTTTTGCCTCGGAAAGTCAGTTTCTCTTTCATGTTTTCCTGACGCGTTCGATTACTTTATGTAGTTCAGTTTTGTAGGCATGTAAACCATTTTTAAGCGGAACATGCCATGTTTCGTTGTGCAGCTGCAGGTGACATTACTAGTGCAGGATACCTTCAGTTTGATATTAAAGAGATTGAAGCAGCAACAAGTAACTTTTTGGCGAGTAACAAGATCGGTCAAGGAGGATTCGGCGTGGTTTACAAGGCATTTTCTCCTCACCTACTCAAGTTGTTTCTGTTGATACATTATGCATGAAAAGACATTGAGATACTGAGACAAATCGTTAGATTCATGGCAGGGTACGTTCTCAAATGGAACTGAAGTTGCAGTCAAAAGGCTGTCAAGAACTTCAGATCAAGGAGCCCTTTTTATTAAAAAAAAAAAAAACTTCAGATCAAGGTGAAATGGAGTTCAAGAACGAGGTGCTTCTTGTAGCAAAGCTTCAGCATCGGAATCTCGTTAGGCTTCTTGGGTTTTCTCTGCAAGGAGAAGAAAAGATACTTTTCTATGAGTTTGTTCCCAACAAGAGCCTTAATTATTTTCTCTTTGGTAATGAAATACTAAAAGGCTTAAATATACTATTTATCCAATGTTTTTGAAATCATAGTTTTTGATGTCTTAGTCTACAAAACGGATGTGCAGACCCCACTAAGAAGGATCAGCTGGACTGGACAAGACGGTACAACATCATCGGAGGGATCACACGTGGGATTCTCTATCTTCATCAAGACTCAAGACTAACCATTATACACCGTGACATCAAAGCTAGTAACATTCTATTAGATGCTGATATGAACCCCAAAATAGCAGATTTTGGAATGGCTAGAAATTTCAGAGATCATCAGACTGAAGCCAATTCAGGAAGAGTCGTTGGAACATTGTAAGTATAGTCCTTAGTCGTTAAATTGAATCTTGATTAAACCGTTTTCGTTACTGATTAGTCTATATGTCCTGCAGCGGTTACATGTCTCCAGAATATGTAACGCATGGCCAATTCTCTACCAAGTCTGATGTATATAGCTTGGGAGTATTGATTCTGGAGGTTGTTAGTGGGAAAAAGAATAGCAGCTTCTATCAGAGGAATGGTTCAGTTTGCAACTTGGTCACATATGTGAGAGAGCACAAATCAAATTCTCAAAATTTTACTGTTCTTTTCTTTCCTTAACTGTGTTTCTTGGCAGGTTTGGAGGCTTTGGAATAGTGATTCACAGTTAGAACTCGTCGATCCAGTGATTAGTGAAAGCTATGAGAAGGATGAAGTCATTAGATGCATCCATATCGGACTATTATGTGTTCAAGAAACTCCTGTAGATCGTCCAGCCATGTCTACAATCTTTCAGATGCTTACTAATAGCTCCATTGTTCTACCTGTGCCTCGACCACCTGGATTTTTCTTCAGGAACAGACCTAATATAGACCCTTTAACCTATGGATCCGACCTGGGCCAGTCCAGCAGCAACTCTGTTCCTTGTTCTGTCGACAAGGTTACCATCACTACGCTCACTCCTCGTTGAAACATTTTCCTTGTAGCACAAGTCACTTTGGTTTTCGAAAGTCTATGCATAAAGAAACCGAGGGTTGAATTAATTAATGCTGAGTGCGACGTGTAACAATAATAAGTCTTGTCAATAATAGACTGTAGCTTGCGTAACTTCAATTCAATTATTAAGAGTTTTCTAATAGTATTTTTCATGTTGACTTATTTAATAATAATGAATGCTTTTGTTTGGCTCATCACGTGCGTAAGAACAATCCAACGTTACTTTAATAACTTTAGAAAGGCTGCTGGACGTAGATAATTGATGATTGGTGCATGGTTCACTTTCATCGTATATACTGAATTATCCAAACTTTAACCAATTTTGACTTTGACGAAGATTCTAACCAATGGTGTTTTGACCAAAAATCAACGCTACTATAGTAACCAAAAAAATAAAATATCTGTCTTATTTAGATCTGAAACAATTATGATCTGAGCAAAATCAATCTTTTAAAAAATGAGTCTATACATTTTCTTGTCAATCCTCTGTTTTCTCCTAGCCTTTAGCTTAGGCTTTGTCTCCCCCCAAAGATGTGGAGACTCTCTACTTTTCAGACCAAACAGTGCTTACGATACAAACCGTCGTCTCCTTCTCTCAACTCTTGCTTCCAACGTCAGTTCACAAAACGGCTACTACAACGTCTCTGTCGGTGAAGGTTCTGGGAGGATCTATGCTTTAGGCCTCTGTATTCCAGGGACCGATCCAAAGGTCTGTTCCGATTGTATCCAACCAGCTTCTGTCGGTTTATTAGAAAACTGTCCGAACCAGACCGACTCATGGGACTGGAGAGCCGACAAGACGCTCTGTTTCGTTCGTTACTCCAACAGCCTTTTTTTCAACCGGAACGATACAGAGCCAACACAAGCAGAGTTCAACAATGAGATGTACACGGGTAACATTACAACTTATACTAGAGTATGGGACTCGTTCATGGAGTCTATGATCACACGTGTCGGCCTATCTCGATCTCGGTACTTGGCTGATGTATCTCCTCGGATAGGTGAAAGACTTGATGACAATATATACGTGATGATGCAGTGTATTCCAGGGATATCCACTGACCAGTGTGAAGCTTGTCTTCAAGAAAACGTGCGTTCATACAAGAGATGCTGCAATGGGTTTATAGGTGGAAGCGTTGGCAAGCCGGTGTGCTATTTCCGGTGGGATGGTTATGCATATCTTGATGCCTTTGATGCCTTCAACGACACGCATTCTCGACCTACTCCTACTCCTCCTCCTCCTCCTCCTCCTCCTTTTCCTGCTCCTCCTCCTCCTCCTCAAGATGGACAAAAAATTGCTACAGGAGCTATTGTGGCCATTGCTGTTTCCTCGGTTATATTCATGGTGGTGCTTGCTTCAGGATTAGTTATTTGGAAGAGATCAAACAAAAAATTAAATCATCAAAGTGAGCTATTTTTTTGTGTTTTTAACTTTTCATTTACATTAGAGCTTCTAAATATACCTATTTGGATTTGCATAATAGTAACCATATACAATGTTGTGATAGCAGCTGATGATGAAATGACTAGTCCACAATCTCTACATTATGATTTCGCGACGATTGAAGTGGCAACAGATAAATTTTCGACGAGTAACAAGCTAGGTCAAGGTGGATTCGGTGAAGTTTACAAGGTATACCTATAATGAGCTCTACATGTATATATGACTGCTTGATTTGTCATGAAAGCTAAAAAGCTTTCCATTTGTATCTATGTCAGGGAAAATTAGTAGATGAAACAGACATAGCGGTAAAGAGGCTATCTAGAAACTCAGGACAAGGCACACAAGAGTTCAAGAACGAGGTTGTGATTGTGGCTAAGCTTCAACACAAGAATCTTGTTAGGCTTCTTGGGTTTTGCTTAGAGAGAGATGAACAAATACTTGTCTACGAGTTTGTTCCTAACAAAAGCCTTGATTATTTCCTCTTCGGTAATAAACAATACACAATAGGTTTTCCGTTCTATTTATGTTCCTTTTAGTAAAGTTTCTTAAAATGTTTAGTCTGTCTAATGCAGACCCAATAAAGAAGAGTCAGCTTGATTGGAAAACACGGTACAACATAATCGAAGGGATTACAAGAGGGCTTCTTTATCTTCATCAAGACTCAAGGCTCACCATCATACACCGTGACATCAAAGCAGGTAACATTCTTCTAGATGCCGATATGAACCCTAAGATAGCGGATTTCGGAATGGCAAGGAATTTCAGAGTGGACCAAACTGAAGACGAGACAGGAAGAGTTGTTGGAACATTGTAAGTATTCTACTATTCTACTTACTTACGGTTTTATGAACCTTTTAAAATGGGGAAAAATATCTGATGAACTCTTTATTTTGTTTCTGATTTAACAAAAACATTGTCATGTTGTAAATTTGCAGCGGTTACATGCCTCCAGAGTATGTGACGCGTGGCCATTTCTCTACCAAATCTGATGTCTATAGCTTTGGAGTATTGATACTGGAGATTGTTTGTGGCAAGAAGAACAGTAGCTTCTGTCAGATGGATGATTTTAGTGGCAATATGGTGACACATGTGAGCAAAAATCAGATCAAAATCTTACTCCATTTTAGTTCCGATCAACTTCTGAATATGAGTTTGCTATGGCAGGTTTGGAGGCTTTGGAATAGTGATTCACTGTTAGAACTAGTCGATCCAGTGATTAGTGAAAGCTATGACAAGGATGAAGTCATTAGATGCATTCATATCGGACTATTATGTGTTCAAGAGTCTCCTGCAAATCGTCCAGCGATGTATACAATCTTTCAAATGCTTACCAATAGCTCTATTGTTCTACCTACGCCTCGACCACCTGGATATTTCTTCAGGGACAGACCTAATTCTGACCCTTTAACGATTAGATCCGAGCCGGGGCATTCTAGATGCAACTCTGTTTCTTATTCTATATTAACTCCTCGTTGAAGTTCTTGCTTTTGCACTCTGTATATAGTACTGGTCTGTACCATTTTCCTTGTAGCGCAAGCAACTCCAATTTTACAAAGAAGCTGAAGATATAATTTATGTGTTGGATACATATACTGCAAGTTTTTCCATGAGCTTTTTTTTTTTTTTTGGTAAAATTTTTTCCATGAGCTAGGTACGTATAAACATCATCTATTGTCTTTTTATTCATTTATTAAGACTTTTCTAAGGTATCGAGTTAACTCGAGTTATTAGAATTCTTGACAACTTACGAATTAAAATCCATTTAGATTCAAATTTAAGGTTTTGCTCCAAAACTTGATTTAAACATAAAACTGTCAAATGGGCGTGTTCATGTCTAAATGGGCGTGTTCAAATAGACATTCATTTTTTGTGGACAAATATGGTCACGTCTAAAAGTGACTGTGTCCAAATGTCTGTATCTAAATATGATCAGGTCTAGTTGGACTGTCTGCATTTAGCCCAATTTAAAAAAAAAATCTAGATAAAGATTCAAATTTGAATAAAATTCCAGAAACCCAAAATAAATAATAATAAAAAACCAGAGCTTAAAATTTTTGCTACAAAAATCAATGGAGAAAATCATCTATAAAACCATTTTTGACGACAAAAATATGTTTCTCAATTTTTCATCAAATCAACAAAAATCACAAAACTCTAAAATTAAAAGTCTCTAGACTGTCTAATGACCATGCTCAGACCCGTTTTTGACAGCAGACAAATTTGGGTGCAGTCCATTTGGACAGCTTCCTATTTGGACATGACCATGATTGTTCAAAATTATTTGGATTTGGCCTGACCATGGACAAACATTTATGCAATATTTCCTTGGTCAATACAGTCACTCCTCGTTGAAGCTCTTGATTCTCCATTCGGTAGTATAACCAGAACAAGTTTAGCACCAGTCCATACTGTTTCCTTGTAGCACACAGAACTCCAGTGTGTCAAAGTCTATATAAAGAAACTGAGGACTCATTTGTTTGAAAGTGATGTGTAATAACAGAAGTCAAATCAATTTGGTTATAAGTTACAAAACTTCACTTTCATAATTCGTTAAGAATTTCTAATATATTAAGTTGACTTGTGTAATAATTATGTCTGTCTTGCCTAAACAAGAACATTCAGGTTTTTTTTTTAAGACCAAATCAATATTCCCAAAATCAATATAACAATAACACTCAAATCTCTCTATAAGATGATACATCAGCTTTTTCAAGTTTTTTAAAGTTGATATCTCAGAAAAAAAAAACTCCAATCAAAATATTTTATTAATACACATCATCTACTAACTTTTATTATTTTAACCTAAACCCATTAAAAAAACCCAAATATTTCTTTTTGTTAATTTTTGATTTATTTTTTACCAAACCCAAGCTCATATAATAAATAACAGAAAATTAAAAAAAATTATTTTTTACCATCCCCAAATCTAAATAATAAATGACAACAAAAAATAAACTTTTGTTTTATATTTTTTCCAAACCGAAATTCAAATAATAAATAACAGCAAAATTTTCTTTTTAATTTCTAACTATATGTTTGCTTGATAGAGACATATATGACTGAAAAAAGTGTAGACTCATTATCAACTATACTTTCATACCAATAACGCAAAAAGTGTTATGTTATAAGAAGCTCACACATCAGCAAAAATTTGAACCAATAAAAACATAACAATAATACATATCATTAACACATTAATAAAATCAGTTTACTATTTTGCTGATCCATTAAAAAACCCAAAGTTTACAAAAAAATAAAGTCGAAAGCAAATGAGGAGAAGCTCAGACCACCACAACTTGGAGATTCACATTTCTAGTGGTTATCGAGAACAAATTTTTTTGGGTTTGGCAGGAATAGCAAATTTCTTGGTTTCGGTAGGAAAATGTGATTTTCAGTTTTGGTAGGAAAACATAATTTCTCGGTTATGGCGAAAAAACTGAATTCTCGAGTTTGGAGGAAAAATGTGAATTTTTGGTTTTGATGATAAAAAAAAAATTTGATTTTGATGCGAAAACAAAATACCTTAGTTTTGACGAGAAAATGCGAGGGAAATGCAACTTTTCAATTTTGACGAAAAATACGATTTTTCGGTTTTAATAAGAAATGCAAATTTTTGGCTTTTGATGGATAATGTGATGTTTTAATTTTTTGCGGGAAAATGTGATTTTTTAGTTTTCGTGGGAAATTATAATTTGACAATTTTGGCAGAAAATGCAATTTCTCGGTTTGATGGAAAAACAATATTTCTCGATTTTGGCGGAAATAAACAATTTCTTGGTTTCGATAGGAAATGCAAATTTTCAGTTTGGACATATAATGTGATTTTTTAGTTTTCGCGGGAAAATATGATTTTTTTTTGTTTTCGCGGAAAATTATGGTTTATCGGTTTTGGTAGAAAGGCGTTGACGAGAAAAAATATTTTTTTTTGTTTGGCGGGAATAGACAATTTCTCGATTTTTGCGAGAAAATAAATTTTTGGTTTTGACGGAAAAATAAGTTTTTTTGGTTTTTGCAGGAAGTAAATTTTTTTGGTTTTGGTAAAAAAACTTGATTTCTCTGTTTTTGCGTGAAAACACATGTTCTCGCGGAAAAATATGATTTTTTTTGTTTTTGCGAGATAATGCAATTTTTTTTGTTTTGGTAGAAAAATAAAATTTCAGTTTTGACGAGAAAATGATTTTTGTTTTGTTTTGGCAGGAATAAGTGATTTCTCAGTTTCATGGGGAAATGTAATCCTTTTGTTTTGTCGGAAAATGCAATTTCTCATTTTTTATAAAAAGATAAAATTTATTTATGCTAAATTTTCAAGTTATAATATATTTATAGAAAAGTTTTCAGTTTCTTTTTAGCTCCAAAAAAAAATTCAAAATGTTAGATAGCTATTTAACTTCACTGGTGACGTAAGCCACAAAGTGTTTGGTTAATGCTTGTGAACTTTCTAACTTCATCTTTTGGTCTCAGATGGGGCCATGAAGAGCTTGTGGTCGTGGAGGACTGAGCATTGGTCAATGTTCATTTTCATCAATTGGCCTAGCTTGTGTATTACGTAACGAAAATTCTGATTTCCTTAGAAATCTTTTTACTCCTTCATTGACTTAAGCATCAATGCTGTTTTGACGAAATCAACCTTCCTAAATGTTGATTTTTCTCTTATTTAGATTCAATTTCAAAGATCTACAACAGTTATCTGAGCAAAGTAAAGCTCTCAAAATGTCTCTGAACAATATCTTACCAATCCTCTGTTTTGTTCTCGCCCTCAGCTTTGGCTTTGTCTCTTCACAAAGTTGTGGAACCACAATGTCTTTTACACGATACGGTGCTTACGATATAACCCGTCGTCTTACTCCCCCAACTCTTGCTTCCAACGTCATTTCTCGAAACGGCTTCTACTACAACGTCTCCGTAGGTGAAGGCCCTGGAAGGATCTATGTTCTAGGCCTCTGTATCCTAGGGACTGATCCAAAGATCTGTTCCGATTGTATCCAACACGCATCCGACAGTTTACTCCAAAAC